AAGACCGCAAAAAGTTCTATCAGATAGTCACTTCCAAAAATTTTCCAAAGCCCGCATCGGCGAGAAGAGATTTTTCTGTTTTCTCAGAAAAACACCATTTTGCAATCATCTTTTTATCTCGTCCACGAAAATCCTCATAACTCAGCCAAAACTCATCTTTTATTGACAGCGAGTTCAACAGCGATTAATAACCTCAAGAGGTTCCCTCGTTAGCTCTGCAGTAAGCTGCAAAACTAAATTCACTGTTCGTGTTTTCATCAAACAACACGAGTAGTTAACAAAAAGTATTATGTGACCTGTGCCAGACGAATGTTTTCCGTTGAACATCGAATTGAAAATTTTTCACAAATTTTTGGGCTAAGCAAACTTTTTACTTTTCGTTTCCTTTCGCTATGAACCCATTATTATTACTTTCATCATACAATGTCTGGGTAGATATATTATGGACCACGTAACATTTCATAACATTGTAATATTCAGATTGAATCTCTAAATTGAAATGCTTTAATCGAAAAATCACCTTAAACTAAACGATGACGTTGAACATTGGACCCATTCAGTACTGGTTAGAAAATCCAGGTTATGCCTGTAGTGGCCATATACGACGAGTTACGGCCGTGTACTGTAACATATCACGCCGCAAATGGTCGTAACTCGACGTAATTTGGCCGTAATCTTATGCACCATAATACAGCAGCCGCAAACACCCTTTTACGAGGCCGTTTTCAGCCATAACAGACCGGTATACGCGCGTTTATGGCGGGAGTATTACGGAGCATAGGATTACAGCATGGTCACTCGATTTTACGGCGCTTTACGACTGTTGAATCACCTAAGGAGGTATTAGTGCAGGTAATAGTAGACGAGGACAGATAACGGCATGGATGAGGACGGGATTACGCAATGAGTTAGAGTACAATGATCCCTTCAGTCTCTAGCTCGTTCCTTATAGTTATACAGATATAACGTCATAAGTGCATAGGTGTCTAAAATTTTGTTTTAGAAACCATTGTCGATTGGTTACTTTGAATTCTCTTCCCGAACGCATAACTGTTGTTAAGTCCAATCTTATGATAAAACTTTTTCAGAAGCGATTTCGCGCACACTTTTAATATTTCCGAGTCGTTCATACACGGATAACGCTTTTAAGATCCAAAGAAATCTCAAGAAAACGATGTCAAAAAAGAGCCTAAACAAACTAGTTTCTTTCGTCTCCTACACTTGCAGTAAACCTAACTCAACTTCTCCCTTATAAGCGTCCGACAGAGCAAGCTCTTAGCTTCAACTTTTCCAAGGAACAGAGTTCTTATCCCATTCCCAAATTTTCACTTTTTGACCGATAACTCGTACTTAAAGCAAACAAAATTCAGGAAAACTGATGTTGCCACTTGATACAGCTCATCGAGTTCTGTCTGGCACACTTATTTCCAGAGATGGCACAGCTTTAATAAAAAACGTTAGGCCAAAATATAGAAATCTGCTGCTACCTTCCCTTACGTACAACTTTTTGATTTCCGCCTTTTGCCAAAAGTCATCAAAAGGTTTGGTCTAACAGAGCCCCCTAGTTTGAAATTTTGAGAACATCGATTGAAGATCACTGCGCTGTAATAGATGGTGGCTTACATGCGATAGTTCCTACGGAATTTTTTACTAGCAAAACTCTGATGGGGATTTTTCAGGGAAAAATCCAAAAAGTAACATTCAGTCATTTATATTGTAAATATAGAAAGGAAAGAAAATAATTGCTGGTTTTGAATGACAAAATTCAGGTAGTCTCGTACGATAAGAAAAATGAAGAAAAAATATCAGCAACGTATTATTTCATCGTAAACTTTCAAACACTTGTAGGTTTCTTTCTGCTGAGATTACGAAATAAATCTTTTTTTTATATGCGATGATAAACGATATTTTTTGCATTACGACACTCATCAAAATTTATGCTGTTTAGAGTATAACTAACATTTCTGCACTGATGTAGCAACATCATTTAAATACTTTGTTGGTATGGGACAAAATCTTTAAGAATCGAAAAGATCATTCGCAGGTTAGTTTCGCCATCAATACTTATTCATTGCCTTGGAAACTAAACCAGTACATATTAAGGTCGATTTTTGTTAGATGGATTCTGTTTCACTGTGGACTCATCTTTAATGAAGCGTAAACTTCTAGTTTATTGCATCGTTGCACAAAATAAGTTGCTCGATTCTCTCTGCAAATGAGAAGATTCTGTACAAGTAATAAGAGTAGCCACAAAAAAATTTCAATCATATCGAGACTCGAGACTTTTTGTCTCGGCTCGATGCATGCCTATCGCCAAGTAATTATCGCCCAGTTCATTGATCAGAAACGAAGACTTATATATGTCTCAATAGATGAATAAGAGAGCAGTGAATAAACCAACAAAATGCTGTAATCTAGGTCGAGAAATACTCCGCATTTCCGAAAAAGCGTCACATTTTAGATATAAATAACTGTTACTTAAGTTCAGCGACACATCAGAATGAAGCAAAATGAACAACAAATTGTCACTTTGATAAGTAGGGCCGAAGTAAGTATTTTACGAATAGTTTTTATGTACATATTATATGATTTCACTTTCAGCTTGATCACTGTTCAAAAACTACAACTGATATTGGTGAAGCTTTGGAAAGTCCTGTTAGTAATTTATTGTTACAATTATCGCCATACAGTAAGTAATAACGAAGCATAAATCCACATAGATTCTATGACAAAGAAAACAGTGCGGGTGGATAAGATATGCGTCTTTGAAGAAAAAATATATGTGAAAGTGATGAGTTATTACACTGTTAAAAAGAAATCAAAAGGTTTGATTTGACTTTGACAACAACAAAAACCTTAGATAGAAAAACGAAACACAAATGTAAACTGTTACCTTGGAGGGCAGAAAAAACACATTAATACTTATAACTCTTTCACCAGCCATTCCGAGAGAGACAAACAAAGCAACAAAAGACAAGTGTTTCAGTTCTGATAGCACTCTCCCTTTTTTCCTCACGTGGAAGCTGATCCAAAATCAGTCGGACTGAACGTTCCATTTAACCACTGCTCGAGCTAAACAAGAAAAACCAAGATTAAAGAATCGAGTCCGTCGTTACACGGAGTGTTGATGAGTTTGGACACGAACTGGCTTGCAGAGCAAAACACTGAAAAGCCCACAATAGTGCTGTGGTCGGACGGTATAATCAGGATCTGCAAAATTCTGCTCTTCATAAAGTCTTCACATCTACACTACTCTCCGTTCCAAAAAGTATGCGCATGATTACGTTTTGAATAACTTTTGAGAGGAATGTGCCAGAGACCTGCTGTTTTCACCATCATGTTGTTAAAATCCTAAGACATGTTTCTATAAGCAAAATTTTCTTCCAAAATTTTATGGAAGTTCGATTTTCTAGAGGATATTTGGA